GGGCCCAACGCGTGTAAATAAAATATCCCCCACAGGATTTCACCTCTACTACCAGCCCTAACAGTTTAAGTAGTTTAAGTACCATATTTTCTGCACTATAAGGCGCACTGAAAATCCTTTAATTTTCTCAAAAATCGACAGTGCGCCTTATGTATTCTGGTTGTGATACAGACCTCGAACCGATTTTATGTGGTACACGGCGCTCGAAAATCTGTCAAAAAATGTTTTAGTACGACTTTGGTAAGCTACGAAGCCGCACCGCGTTATGGATTGTCGGCGAATTACGGTTACTGTAGTCAAGAGCCTCGCGGAGTAATCTGGGTCCTAAACTCTGTCTCTTCAGGTCCCAAAGTCGCAAAATAGAGCAGCTGCGAGAGAATTCAATAGTAATGAATCAATGGTACGGAAGTGGAGGAAGCAAGAAGAATGAGTTGAGTAAAGTTTGACTTTGATCTGACCGTTTTGTTTTGCTTAATGCGCCTTATAATCCGGTGCGCCTTATGGTCCGAAAAATACGGTAAAACAGAATAGATCAATGCTTTCATATTATTTACACCAGATTCTGGCCCCATCATCCAAGCTCCTGTTCTTAGCTGACCAGAGTGCTGTTCAGTGAGGTCTTCTGCTGTTGTGGCCCATCTGCTTCGAGGTTTGGCATCCTGTGCAGTCTGAGGTGCTCTTAAACACCACATTTAGACACCACAGCCCGTCCGAGTGCTGTTACTGACCATGTCCACCCATTTATGGCCTCAGTGTACCAATATTTCAGGACAAAGCTCATCGTGAGTTCATTGTGACCTCCACTCACCAGGTTGTACACCTTAGTTATAATGAGTACTACTTTGAGTTACTCTTGCCTTCATATTAGCCTGAAACCTTCCAGCGCTTCTCCTCTGATCTCTACCAGTGAATGGCCGCAAACTGGATATTTTCCCTTTTTCAGACCATTCTCTGTAAACACCAGTGATGGCTGTGTGGGAAAGTCCGAGCAGATCAGGAGTTTCTGGAATACTCAGATGAGCCCATTTGGCATCAACAACCATGTCACCTTCAACGTCATATGAATCACTTTTCTTCTGCTGTTTGGTTTTAATGTGCCGAATGGGACTGACTGGTTAAATGATTGCATTTAGCAAGTAGTTGATTAAGTATACTTGATGAAGCCTGGATCAAGCTGTTCAAATTTAATTAATGGAAGAGAAAAAGTTGTTTATAATTATTGTGCAGTAATTCTTCAAGTTACACCTTTTGTAAAAGCAGCTTTGAAATATATTTGGCCCATTTTAATTTCCTCTTGGCTCAGTGTGTTTTGCCAGTTTTCTTTCTAATAACTGGAACTAAAAAAAAAAAATAAAAAAATCAAGAAAACATCAACGTTTCATGCAAAATACGGAACAGACGTGAGGCTTCACCAATCAAGGATGATTCTGATCCCTGACTCATTGATTTGTGCATCACTAGGTGTATCTCTTCAGTTTCACCATTTTTACTGTAGTCTTGTCCATTCTCAGTAGCTCTCTTTGCTTTTTTTAAAGCTGAGGTCACAAGCCAAGCAGTGTGACTGGCTGAGTATGTTAGTCAGTACGGTCTGATCTCTCTATACCAAAATAGTAGTTTCACTTAGAAACAAGCAGTTTGGGTACCCAGACTCCAGCACACTGCGCTCATTCCTCTTTTAGCATTAATTAAAGTCTTAAGGGAGTAATCTCTCAACAGAGAATAGCTGATCCATCATCCCTCCATGGACCAATTCTCAGACTGCTGTCATCAATTCTTTTATGGTTGCTGGCAACTTTTCAGCATTTATTCGCGTCTCCCCTGTTTGTGCACAGACTGTCTCTTTGTCTTTCCCATTTACTCTTTATTTTCTCATGCTCTCCATTTCTTGTTCGTACTCCAGCGACCTCAGAGAAATGTGTGCGTAACCAACAGGCTGCTCGACCTGACGCATAAATAAGGGCGTTGTTGTCAATGCAAGGCACATTTATGTGAAAGGTTGGACAAGAGGGGGACTCTGTGACAAGGGCAGGACCCTGTGGTGGTGGATGGGTTTAAAAAATATAAAAATAAGCAGAGGTATATTACTTAAGAAGTGGGTCGACAGACGAGGATGCTTAGGATCCAAGGGTGCACAAATATTAATTTAGTCACAAATAAGCTAGCTAAATATTTATAGCAAAACAAAATGGCCAGTTGAAAGCACAGATGGATTAAATCCATCTGTTTGGAATAATTTTCGTGCTGTTCTTTGGGGAAAAGATCATTTACTCAAAATACATTCAGCAGAAGACCATGTGAGCCTGTAGCACATAGTTTCTCATTAGAAATTTAAATAAACAGAGTAGGATTAACCTGCTATTTAGGGCCTAAGTCAGATTCAGCTCTTTTTGGGGGGCCTAACTTCTACCCAACGTCCATACTTGGGAAATGCTAGCAATCTGTGCACAGAGTCATACCTGCATCATCATTAATACTAGTAAAAAATGTCCCCTGTGCTGTTGTTATGTGTGAGCAGCACTCTCAGTTACAGCACTTTCTATGATTTATAATGTGTGTAGCTAACAGAAGAGTTTTGCCTGGCCTTGCATTTTCTTGTGTAGACCAAATAAAGGAAACCTTTTCACAACAGAGTAAAGCTGCTGCAGCTCAAATTAATAGCCTCATTGTGTGTGTGTGT